AACACTCAATTCTCTGTTTCAAGTTAGCTCTCAGAAGATCCACACAAAAATCATTTGAGGCCTGTGTGCATGCTTCTTCTCCTTCCCACTCCCATACACATTTCCCCATTAACTCCACGTCTGCTATTTCAAAACAGAGTTTCAGTGCAAAGAAGCCAAAAACCAGCTAACAGAAAGCAGTTAACTGATTTGAAAGATCCCTCGGTGCTGGGTTTCCTGGACCGTGGTGTGTGTGTGTGTGTGTATGTTTTATCTGGTGCGTGTGCTGCTTTGAAGTGACATGTGGAACGGCGAGCGAACACTCGGATGACATGACCTACTGCAAGCCCCCGTGCCGCTGCTGCAGTTGTAGCCATCCTTGTCACCGCTGATGCACACAGCGAAAGGAAAAAAAGGAAAGAGCACTGGCGTAGCACGCTTCTCGTCTTTGATTCAAGAAGCCATTTAAATGTAGTTTAAATCCAAATCTGCTGGAACTGAGCCACATTCTCTCTTTTATATATATATATTTTTATCAGGAGTTGTGATCCTGTGAGGTAATGATCATTAGCTTCCACACCAGTCCATGGGACCACAGCTGCAAGTTTAAACAAAGCCAAGTTAACAGGGAAAGATACATTTGGCTGTGGAACTTGGCAAGCCTTTTGTTTGTTTGTATTTTATCTGACAATGATCAGTTAAAATGTTGTTTTTGTCATGGGAACGTAATGCCTGATAATTGTCTGCAGCACCAGCGATTGCTTCTGAACAGGGACAGTTAATTATTAGAAATGAAGACCAGTTGTTCCGTACCCAAGTCCAAAATAAAAGGGATAATCTTTCTAAAAAAGCAGGCAAGATTTTTTTTTTTTTAATAATTGCATTTTTAATAACTTACTCTTAAAATCAAATAAAATACATCAAGGACATGAAATACAGTCTGTATTTCAGTCAAACATAGACTTCTGTAGGCTTCTAGTAGGAATCGCGTGTCATGCAGGGAAAAAATGGGGTTTTTTTTAAACTCTGATAATGTTCCAGTTGCACTTTATGCTTTTCCAGGTAAGGTATTGTCACATTGTTCTATGTCTCTAAAATAAACAAGTTTTAACTTAGAAGAGAAAATGGAAAATAGGATCGCTGTACCATTTTAAGTGAAAACATAATCGAGGGAGAGGAAGCTGTTCGAAACTGGTCAAAGCTGACTTACAAAAACAATATGGCCTTAAACTAAGAAGGGCAGGTTTAGATTAATTGTAAGGAAATGCTTCCAAGCAGTGAGAAGAATTTGAGAAAGGAACAACTTCAGTTTATTGCTTAGACTCTGGGAATAGAAATGGCTGCACACAAAAAGGGGATAAATCCAAAAATCAAAGCCTCTTAACACTGGAATTCGCCTCCTTGCTTTGCTGTGTGTGGCAATCGACCCGTTTTGGGGGGAGCTGTGCAGTGGCAGAGGGCCATCCTGGCTCTATTTGGTAGAAGTGGAAAATGTACAGTCGTACCTCAGCACTGCATTTCTGAAGATGGTGCCGAACAGCGTGGCGCTCTGTCTTGTGACGTTGGTCAGGTCTCTTACATTGCGTTTTGGGATGCCCAACATCAGGCTGCACGGCTGGTTTACAGAAAATGAGAAACAGAATTAGTAACCAGTCTTCATCTGTGTATGTCCAGGCCTTTCCAGATGTTCAGCTGTCCAGTCAGCAATACTGCACAGCTGCTATGACGTGACACCATATGTCCAGCAATCTCAGGGAGCTGTGGAAAATTTTTGGTCTGTCTGGGTAAAATTTTGGTCAGAGAAAGACACACGTCCAGAAAAAAAACAGGTATGTTATAGCCCTATCAGGGAGGAATTAGCAACTGATGTGGAGAAAAGTCTTATTAGGTGGCAGTAAGTACGGCTTGATGTGACTATGGAAACAATGGAAGTGAAGCAAAAATGAGTAACTGCTCATTTAATGAGTGTCATCCATCCTGTGCAAGAGTCGACTGCCTGTGGAGAAAATGGGGCGCAGTTGGGTAACTGATTGTGTCAAAACACACAGGCATACAAGAGACATGTAAAGGTAGCAGAGATGCCTTTTGTTTGCAGAGTTGAACGTTCAAGATCAAGCAATAGGAAAACCCCTGCTACAGACCCCATCTACAGGGGAGGGCATTTATTGCCTCTGGTATCGCTGGGCTGAGGTTAAGTGGGAGATGGGCTGAAGGGGGGCAATTGTCCTGCAGTCCCACTGGTGTTGCACGCAAGTTTGGAATAGTGCGCTAAACAAGCCGCCCCCCTTTGCCCACTATTCCCGCAGTCACTGTCTCTGCCTGTGGGTATGTTTGTGTGTGTATAATGCTTTAATGTTAAAATAGAGGCTGTCTTTTGGATCTTGCTCAATTGTGCATTGCTTTAGTTCTGGGAGAAAAATTCTTTTCTGACCCCAGATAGGGATCAGCTCAGCTTATGCTCCAAAGAATAGAGATTAATATCCCCTGTGACCTTTTAGCCTAGCTGCTGCAGGGTTTTTAACAAGTGGGCTTAAGGCCCCATGTGTGGCAGCTACGCCAGCATGAATGTCTGTAATGTCTCTTCTTGTCAATGATCCGTGGACTAAGGAATCTCCAAGGGATATCTTGACGTGCTGTGGAGCTGTTATGGTCTAGTGCAGGAAAGAACCATGCAACGATAGAATGAAAAGCTGGTGTCACAAGTAATGTGTAAGTTGTTCTAAACGTACCTGACAACAGTTGTCCCAGGCTGTGTATTTACTTAAAAGATATGGCTGTGATATGGTAGGATTTCTGTATTTCTGTTTCCTTGGAAGTTTGCAATGTTGTATGAGTTCTGTAATATAATGTTGAACAGTTAATAAAAAAGAAGTACATAACATGAGAAAGCCCCCACCTAGTTCTAGCTACCTCTTCCTCCCCACCCGTGGCCCTGAAGAGTGGGGTTGTCCACAAAACAATCCAGGAAGGAATTCCTTCCTAAAAATAATTTTTCCTTAATCCTTGTTTTGACTTGCTTTGGCTATTCTAAACTAATGTTACTGTCGCTGGTGTGCATAAAACATTTCTAGTTCCTTTAAAACATTTTTACCCATTGGTTTAAAATAGTCAGTCTTCTTGCAATAAGACCTCAAAGAACTGCCTGGGGGCCAGAGGGAGCACTGATTTTGGACGGAGGTCTACAGTTGCCATTTCAAACATGTCTCAGGTATGTGGGTGATATTATATTCACCTTCTCAAGCTATATTATCTGCTTTGGTGTCAAGGGTAGGTGAGAAGTACGAATTGAAGTAGCTCGTGCTTAAGCTTCAGTGTCACCAGCTTGAGGCCAGAAGCCCCCAGACTCTTGGTTGCTGGAGGAAATGGGAGACTCTCATTTGGTTTCCCCCTGCAGTTTTAAGACCACATAAATTTTTCTGCCTCCTGCTTCCCAGCTCCGGGCACTAAGCCCTCTTCAGAAGTGAGCACATGTTTGCGTGGCTGCAGTGCCTTGCCTCCTGCCCATGGGCTGGCCCAGCTTCCACCAGGGATGAGGAGGTTGTCTCCTCCTGTGAGCAGGGCACTCTTCTGGGATGAAAGGGAGCTGGATGTGTTAGCCCTCTTAAGGCAAAAGGGAGCTGGATATGTCAGCCCTCTTAAGGCAAAAGGGAGTTAAACACACGCCTGCAGGGTGGGAACTAGCTGTAATCAACAGATACAAGAGATTGCTAAAGTAAGTATGTGTTCTGTTTAATGGATTTCTAGGAATTTAATACAGCAGTTCCTTAGAAATGTTTTATTTACTTTCTCTTTTTTGCTACATGTGGGAAAAACCTCCAGAGATTTGAGGACGAGTTTCCTTACGGGGAGAAGCTGTATTGTGTAGCAGATCCTAATCTGGATGTGTTTGAAGACAGGGCAATGGATTGTGCCCCAGGTGGTGTTTTGTTCATTTATAAGTTGACTCATCAGATCTGGATGGGTTGTAAACTGTATTCAGTTCCTATCTTTTATCCATTTTCAGTTCAATGCAAGTGACATCACTTTTTCCTATCAGTTATCATCTTCTGTATTTTAAAATTAAATTGTCTTGATTGCTAGAGCTCGAGCTCCCTGATGATGCCTTCGTGATGATGCCTATCCTGCCCTTCCGCAGCACCGAGAGCAGACAAAATTAGGGTCATCACCCTTTCCACCTTAGTTCTGCTCCTGCCCGGGGGTTTGTAACAGCCCATGGGAATGATCTGCAAGCTGAAATGTGCAGCACAGTATGAGGACAAGTAAGCCCTGATGCGTCTTGCTGCACTCGGTGGAGTGCCAGCCGTGGGGTAGCAGCGTGTTCTTGCCATCCAAGTCTTCGGCCACGTGGAAGCTGCGTGGCCTGTGGGTTTAAGTGCGGGGTAGCAGGTTTCCATGGCTCAGCTGCCGGGAGCAGGAGTGAAGAGGTGGTGGAGCAGACCTGGTGTGCAGCTGCAGGCAGCAGTAAGGACCATCAGTCTGGCACCGTTGAGAGGCAGAGCGTGTGTTTGCTATAGGCAGCATTCAGGGAGGGCAGAATGAAGGTCATTGTTTAACTTAACATTGTTTAAGGATATATGTTTAACTTACTGTCAGAGATTTGATTTTTTTAAGAATGAGGGAATACAAAGGCATAAGATACATCCTCCTTAATGCCGTCTTGATCTTGTCTTGTCTGTTCTATAAAAACTACTAACATTTTTATAACCCAGTAGGACATAAAAGGTTGTTTCTCCCTCTTCTGGCTTCTCTCTGCTACCACCTGCTCTGACTGCACGCACCCCCGTATCACGGGCTGTCTTCAGCTGTGCAGCCTGCACCGTGTGCTGCGCCAGGCCCCACGCCCCGCTCTCGCCTCATCTGGCTGTATCCCTCCTTCCCTGTTTCTTCTCCACCGCCTTGCTCTTGCCAAACCCTTCAGCGCAGCTAGTGGACCACCCTCCCAAGCTGGCCTCCTCCCCCTTGGTCAGTGCAACTCTCTGCATTGCGTAGCTATGAATTGTAATTTTTTATTTTTGATTTCTAGAGGTTTAATATCTGGGTGAATGTTGGGGACCCCACCCGTCCTGAGTCAGAGGACAAGGGAGAGGAACTGATGCTCTTTTTGTGTGGTAAGGACCTAGATTTTGTGCCATGTGCGATTCAGATAAAGGGGCAGGCACTGCTTCAGTCTTGAACCTCAAATACAAACCTAGCTGTACAACATAGTTTACTTCTGAATGTCTGCTTTAATACTGCTTTCTTAAATGGTTTAATACCGCTTTCTTAAATGGTTACTGGGAAAAGTCAGACTATGGGTTTGCCTTAAAGTCATGCTGCCACTAACTGCTTGTATAAAAAAGTTAGTAAAATCTGTACATCTTAAATTGTTTTGGGGACGAGGGGGAAGTTGTACTTTGGGAATCACTGTTTTAAGAAATCTTAAATTTGGATTGCTAACTCTGCCATAAATCCCAAAGTGACATGTTAAATTTAATGAAAAAATCCAAGTCAGCATGTGGATGTTGGAGTACTTTGAAAGAATATTCAAACAGAACGAGGCTCTCAACTTTTGTCTGTAGTGGAGCTGTCATTCAACCGTATCATAATCTCATTAGGGTGAGGGCTCTTGAAAGTGCTAAGTGCAGACTTCCCTGATGCTGGTTGGCACATTTAGGCACATATGTAATACAACAATATAAAAAGCAATTTAATGCCTCATGTGATTTGTGATTCACGGGTTGATGGCTGCTAATATATTGTGGTGATCTACAAATTAGTTTGGCTTGTTAGGTTCAGTGTGGGCAGGGCATTTAATTTTCTTGCATTAATTCAACAGGATTGGGGCCAGAGGCAGCAAAAGTTGTGTTTTTATCAGTATAAAAAAGTTATGATTCATGATCTCAAACCTCAGGCTAGTAAAGAGATATGCCAGAACTAAATGGTTGAAAAAGAGGGGGGATTGGAGGGGGATGGGGGAGCGGAAAGGCACAATTCAGCTGCGAGAGAAAAAACAAAACTGAAGTGTCACAGTCTGAATTATTCTACAGCATGTACAACTCTTTTTTCTGATGATTATGTTCTCTTTTAGATTTCTGAGTGAAGATGAATTTAGCAGAGATTTGCGATAATGCCAAAAAAGGAAGAGAATATGCACTCCTTGGGAATTATGACTCTTCTATGGTATATTACCAGGGTGTCATCCAGCAAATCCAGAGACACTGTCAGTCGATCAGGGATCCAGCAATTAAGGGCAAATGGCAACAGGTAGGGTGAAATGAGGTTGCCTTTATTCTATTACTTGTTATTTAAAAAACTCACTGCACTTCCCAAACCTTTTAAGATGTAGAGGACATATATTTCAGTTAAGTTTACAACATTTCTTTTACAATATTTTGTTGATGTTTATGGGAAAACAATTTTTGTGGCATGTTGAAAAGGAATTCTTTTGTTCTAATTGAATCAATTTTTATGTTGTTTTCACTTAGGATGTCTGGCTAATCACTGGTCTGTTTGTGTGTGATTGCATTCTTTGGAAAAACTGTTTTGCTGAGGACTTGCTTTTGCTGTTTCATCTTTTGACCATCCAATGTCCCATAAACTAAGGTGTGAGTGGATGGGTTAGCATCACTAGAATGGCTGTCTGAGTGGCAGTTAACTATAATGCTACATTGTGCAGATTTGGATCAGGTTTCTAAAACTCCAAGTAATACTCTTAGCCTGAGTCTTGCATGCATGCATCTCCCTGCTAAGCAGAATACTGTTGAAGCCAAGGAAATAATCTGCAGGTGAAATGTAAGAACCCTCATTTAGCACTTTCAGTATTTAAGTCTTCCTTACATTTGGTGGTCTCATTTTTCATTGTACAAAATATGTTCCATCAAAAAAAAAAGAGGACAAACATAAAGGTATATTCCAGAATAAAAAAAATCATGTTGCGTAAATATTATGTTTCGAAAGAAGAACATAACTCCTATAAAAGATATAATTTTGCAGTAAGTAGCTGAAGAGATGGTTTCAAGAAGAGTTTTTCTAAATAAATGTTTAAATGATGTCACTTAAAACCAGAAGCAAATTTTTCCTTTTTATTGCAGCAGGTGCTTTGGTTATGGTTTTGCACTTGAAACATCTGACAGTAACATAGAGTATTTTGTGTACTGATGGCTACAACACTGTAAATCATTTTGTAATGACAGTACTATTCATAGCTGTTTATCACAGAACTGTAGAAGTCTGTCTGCTTATTAAGAGCTTGTCTGCAAAGCATGTGCATATGCAAGCAGCAGTGGTAGTGCCTAGATTTCCCAAAGATGTAATAAGCTGAATGTTGTATAGGAGATATTCACATTCAAGTATTTGTATTCAAGCTCTTCCCCACCCCAGGGCATGCTGACACAAGGTGTTCATGCCCCATGTGTGTCCTTAGTTCCTGCCGAACTTGTAGCTGATGCATAGGTAGAGCATGAGGCTTTCCTTGTTCTGCAGCTGCATCGCTGCACTGCTTTCGCTTCTAGTATTTCATGGTTCCTCCGATGGCATTGATTCTTCCATTAAACTTCTAACAGCTCTTACCTTGTGAAGGTTAATTCAAGTCTCATGATGTTGTGTGGTGTTTGAACTGCTTCAGAGAAGCCCGTGCGCCATGGAATGCATGCTGTACATTGGAGACAAGCCTCAAGTGAAAAAGGACCATTAACACAGTTTCCAGGATTATTCCTTGGGGAAGGCAGCTGGCTCCTTAACAGAGGACCTGAAGTTGGCACCTTCTCAGAAATTACCCCTTTTAGGTAAAAACGGAATGGCCCCTGACAGTGTCCCATTAATGCTTTAGAGAACTGTCCCCAGAAAGACCAGCAGCAGGTGGGGTAGCGTCTGTCATGCTGTGCGCTCATGTTAATTCTGAAACTTCTCAACACAGCAGTGGCAGATGAGCTTTGTCAGAATATCGCTTTGCCATTATTGGTGCCGATCTTGGCTCGGGGACAAACACCAAAAAGTAAGAAGCATGATTAAAAAAAAAGAAGCACTTCATCCCCAGGCTGTTTGCCTTCTCATTCATTTATGGGACTACCCCTAGCACTGGGAACAAAATTGTATAGCCCTGAGAGCAAACAACACAGCCCTGGAGCCGCTAGCTTTTCCATACCTGCACATGAAAGGTTTGGTGAGACCTATAGAGGTAGACCTGCTTTCTTACCCACTTGTGATAAATAATTGTCATGCTTTCTCACTCCTTGAGGCAGACTAAGAGGGAGTCTGATGATCTGGATGTTAGCGCTGCTTTCCAGCTCCAACAGCAGCTACATCCAAACTGTCAGTCACATTCAGTAGCTGTCTGACAGACAGCCTGTTCTGAAAAAAATCAGGCCAAAAGTTGGATCACAAGAAACACTCATTCACAATATTAAAATAATATTTAGATATTCTTTTTAGATCATCCTCATGAAAGAGTTACATCATACACATTACGTAAGTTTAGCAAAATTCAGGTCTAACCCACGTGGTACCAGTAACATGCAGAAGCAAAAGATTCCCACACCTGTATGCTTCTTGCAAGTGGCAGAATAAGCAAAGCAACCCTTCGGTCATGGTTAAGGGGATGAATGCAATTGATCTCTGCCTGGAATTCCATCTCCTCTGGCACATGGAACGAGCCTGTTCCTTAGGTCCTTCAGCTTCCCCATCCTTGGAGGAATCTGAGGAGGATAATACCACCAATACCTTTTGGAGGTGGAGTTTAGCAATCTCTAGCAGACACTGGGTAGGTAGAGCTTTTACTGTTGGGAGCAGTCCACAGTGTGAATATCCATGTGGGTAAGTGCTCAGAGGAGAAGACTGTTACTTAAACCAGTTCTTCTCTGAGATGTACTGTCTGCATGCACGTTCACGATCTTGAACCTCCTGAAGGATTCCTGGGACACCGACGCTGAGGGGATCTGGCAGTATGAAGCGTGCCCTTCCTTTCTGTACGCTTGTGCACAGCGCACAAACAGCGTGTTTGTCCTACTGGTGTTTCTGAGGCAGTGAACTCAGTTTCAGGTGTTGGCGTACGTGTTCCCTCATAAAATAGGAATGCTCATATAAATAATATCTCAAAGAATAGTTACAGCCGTGGCTCTGCAGCTGACTGACTCATACCTGTTACATGAAACATTATTCTCCCTATCTGGTCACTTCTCTACAGTGGTTGCTCCATCCTGAATAAGTGCCTCATGCTAGGTGGACCTGTTTTGTTGCCTTGTGTACTACACTGGATTTTCCCAGCCATTTCCCAAGCAATGTAGAGCAGAAGTGAACCAGAAGTAGTTGGGATTTTGGGTCAGACTCCCAAACACTCTATATCTACCTCTCTTTGCTTAGGTGTCATTGTTTTTGCAAGTATTTGGTGGCTTGTATTTCATGTTGCACGGTCAGACAGCTTCAGCTTTGCAACTGGGCATCCTGATTTCAAGGGTCCCTTGTGCTTGGTGCTGGGAGATAGGAGGAGGAGGAATGTGAACACGTATCATCTGCTCCCCTGGGAACAACTGACTGGCTCAGTTCTACTTGGTGCAGTACTGCTTCCGGGACTTCAAAATCAGCGCTGACTGGGGGAGAGGGATTGTGTTATTAGTCTGGCACAACCTGCAGAACTTCAAAAGGGCAAAAGATGCATCCTGGAGGGCCCACCAAAGCAGCAGTGTGACAACATAAGAATTCCTCTGACCCTTTGGAAAATTTATGGTCATGGATTGTCTGATAACTAGCTTGGCTTGGGGATATCAACGGTGACTTGCTCTTGGGACCCTTATTTGTTTTGCGTCCAGGGAGTTCCCTGCATACTCTTGGATGTCTGAGTGTAGCTCCATTCTTATCCTCACTCCTAGGCTTCTGAGATCATTTGAAAAAGTCACTTCTTTGTTGTGCTTTGAGGTTTGGCTGACATGTAGGCATATTCATCCATGTAAATACAGGCTGGGACTGGGAAGATTCAAAGATTCAAAATCAGAAGCAACTCATCTCTTTTCCTACTTAAAACCAATAAAAGGTAGGTTTACTCTCACAACCGCTATGTGAACTTTACTCGTGTTGACATTCCCCCTGTTTATTCTGAGAGAATTTCTTGGCTGTTGCAGTCTTTTTACTAGACAGCTGGCTTGTAGGAAAGAGCTGCTTCAGTGGCAGTTCAGCAGCTGCAGGATGACAGCAGAGCGTGCCCTGGGGTGATAGTACTGGCTTACGACAAGGCCAGCGGCTGTCGAGCAAAACCTGCTGCATCTTATAACCGTGTGCTCTGCATTGCACAATATCTGGGAGCAGAGGAGCCGGAGCTGGGGCAGGAGTTCAGATTCTCAGAGCACTTGGAGCAAGGCACCCTTACTGACTGTGGTCACTGGAGCCGGAGGTTAGGTGTACTGTATTCTTACTTAAAGAATAAAGGATTATTTTACCTTTTTTTTCTAAATTCTGAACACATTTCAGTCAATCTGTGCTTATGTTGTTTTTCTTCATGCCTGTTTTATTAACACTTCATAGGTTACTTCATGAGTAATTAAGGAATATTTTGTAGGTAACTCATGAAGAACTGTGGTTACAGGAGCTATACTTTTACTCCGTGGGATCAGACTGGGTTACAGGGCATCCATTTTGGGTATGGTTTAGGGAGTTGTTATTTTCACTTTTTTAAAATGGGGCTTGTTGAATAACTAACACTAATTGCAGGTAGTAATTTCAGGCTTGGAAAACACTTTCATAGAAACTTTATTGGTTTTGTTCTAGCGTGATATAATAATAATCAAAAAACCCTCACACATTATTTATATTTACCAAGGTACAAATACCCATGCTTATTGCTATGGGAAGTTGTGGAGAAGTACAAGCTCTAGCATAGCAAATAAAAGCTACCACAGTTTCCAAATTATGAATTACAGAGGAACTCCTTGAAATGGTTTTTGGAACTACCACTAAGAAAGAGTGAACTCAACTCTTGGTCACTGTGTTTTATACCCATACGTTAGGATGTGTTTTCTGCTTGATTACTATAAATCCTTAGGGCTGGAATGTCAAAAACAAAGCTGTGAGGGCATCCCCTGGGCTGAAAGGCTTTTATTGGGCTTTCGAACATCACCCAATGCCCATGATGCTGTTTCTGTGGAGGAGGTGATGTGGCTGGTAGGGGCGGCGGGTGTACCGGAGCCATGCTTTGGGGAGCAGGCAGTTTCACACGGTAGCTGAACCCAGTTAACATCCTGCCGTGCACAGAGAGGCCAAGCTCTTCCCCACCTAGTCTTCCCTCTAGCTGCACTGGCTTCTCTCCCTCCTCTGCACCCTGCCATTCTTTGTCCTGGGATTCACCTGATCACAGGGTAGTGAGCCAGTGCAGCTTGCTAACCCAGCAAAAGTGTCCTTTATTTTCTTTTTACCCTCCTAGGCTGATTTTCTGCCATTTTACCAAGCTGGGTGACTGTATTGAGATGCCAGAATTCAATCCAGAAAAGCAGCAGCAGAGTGTGGTTGGGGAGAAAGAGTGAGAAGGAGCAAGATCTTCCTATTTGGCAGTGGTGAGCTGTCAACTCAGCCCACACTAATTCCTGAAATTGCTTAAATGTGAATAACCTAAAAGCTTTTTTCATGTTCTCTAGAACCTGAGTTGGAGCCCTCTAAGGGCTCTGGCACCCCAGGGAAGGGTGTGACGGGGGGCAAAGAGACTCTGAGTCCAGATCAGTGATTTTTCTGTTTGTAGCTTTCCGAGGCTGTGTCAGAGTAGCGCTGGTCACTCAAAGGCAGTGCTCAGTCGCCTCTGTAATTACGGCACAGCCCTTCTTGGCTCATGTCTGGGTTATTTGTTTCTCAGCTGCAAGAAACTCTTTATGCACCTGTTTCATCTGACGTTTTCTTAAGGCCTCTAGGAATTTATCAGCTGGCTTTCCTTCGTAGTCCTGTTGTTTGAGTACATTGAGGGGTTTTTGTTGGTTGGTTTGCCAATTACTGAGTAAGGGTCTGTATTTCAGAGTTTGGTCTGCTCAAGAGATGGCCAGCAGTTGTTAGTCTGTTTTCAGCTTCCAAGGCACCAAAGGCTCACTTTGTCTCAATTTTCAGATACCATCTTCCTTGCTGGTCCAAGAGAGCTGAATCACAAGCACTCCAGCCCTCAGTGCTGTCAAGTTGTTTTCCACCAACTTTTCCACACGTGTTGGAAGGGTGGTAGGAGGAATCCTGTCTGTATGCCTGGAGCACTGGAGTAGGAAGCGGCTGTCTCTCATGGAGCAGCGCCCTGGAGGATTTATGCTGTATCATTCCTTTGTACCTCACAGCAGCTGTTTGGCTGGATTTATTTTTGGACAGGAGGGATGCGTGTTAGACAGTTTGAAGGAACCAAGTTAGTAATCAATCACACTTGTAGCTCAGCTGGAAGCTCTTGCGCTGGGGGATATGTCTGCCGATTGTGTGATGAGAAAGCAAAGAGAGCAAAGCAGAGCAGGGGGGGCCATGTCAAGCATTCCCTGTCTTTACTAGAGCAATCCTGCCTAAGCTGGATGTCTTGTGTCTTTGGAAAGATACAGCTACCCCATCTGGAATGAACAAGAAGGCTGCTTTGCCCTGTGAAATGATCAAGCTCTTCCCATACCTAAGTCTCCTTTTGTACAGATGCACATAGAGCTCCTGGTGAAGTAAATGCAGTATTGCAAGAACTGTGCAGGGCTTTGGGGATTTACTCTTCACTTTGCCTCTGTCCTTACTGGTATCTTGCTGGTGACAGTCACGTATATTATTCTTCGTAAACACGGTTTTAAACCAGAGATTTTCTTTGTGCAGCAGCAATCTCCTTATTTGTCCTTGTAGTGGGAAAATTCCTGGAAAATATTACAGAGCAGAATGATACATTGCTGTGGGATGTACCTGGTGGTATTTTAGGAGAACTGTAGTTTCCAGAAAGAGGTGATGTATGTTTGTTACCGAGTGCTGTTGATTTAATCATTCATTCTTTTACACACCTTACCCACCAAACAGTTATGTCAGACAGTGCTTTCTGTCTTGAAGTTGCCCCACCAAAAGTGGGGGACGGCTGCTGCTGTTTTGAATATGTGGAGTGGGGCGGGTGAGGAAAGAAGCCATTCGGAGAGGGGAAATGAGAGGGTGAGAGCGAAATGGGATGAGCAGGTGAAAATCAGGCTGGAAAAGGCATGCTTCTAAAAAGTGTGCTGACAAGAGACAGCACCCTGCCATGTGCCCAGCATGGTTCCTTTCCAAGCACACAGGGAGATGGGAAAATCTCAGGCTAGTGGCCGCATCTTTTTACCGGTAAGCACCCTTAGGAAGAACAGTCATAAGATGTGATGCTGTTTAGTACTAGTTCCCTGATTAGCTGCTGTTACAAGCTCAGTAGACAGGCTGGATTTGCAGACCTCCATTCTCCTGGTCCTCTTGATTACTCAGAATCTGCACAGCAAAGAGGATCTGGTTTTCAGGCAACATCTTTGACATCTGTTGATACTATCCTCAGTTGCCTTCCTCTGTTTGCCACAAAGTGAAGCCTTGTTGCAGCATTCCCAGGCAGTATTTCTCCCAGCTCTTTTTCACATGGATGCATGACATGAGCACAGCTGGGTGCCTGGTGTCTTTCCTTAGCTTTCTTGTAAGCTGACTTCAGATCCTGGCTTTTGATTCAGCCTTGCAGTGCCTGCTAGTTGTAGCCTCAGTCAGTAGCGTGCCTGGTGGCAGCCTGCAAATATCCTCACCTTAGTGTTTCTTTACGAGACCTTTCAGAGCCTATGTGCCTTCCCAGTGGATGGAAAGGTTCAGGATGTCTCTCTAGCTCCAGCTGGGAGCCTGTAACAGTTAAGATTCACATTGGCCTAAGGTAATACTAGCTGCAGAGTGCCAGTTGCTGATTTCCAGGCATGCACGGCAATGCATGAATTAGTTTTAGCTGTGCACCAGCATTTCAGTGAAGAGGTAACATCTGGGTGTTACCACCCTCGAGCAGGTAAAAACCAAAGTAAGCATGGAGGTTGATCCCACAGGATGGAAAGTATTGCTGATAGGTGGAAGACTGATTAAGATGCAGTACAAGTGCACTCAGGTGAATCCTAGCACATCTTAAGCTAATGCATTGAAAGCTTATGCTTCTGAGCAACAATGTGCAATGCAGTTTTTGGCTGCTGGTGTGTACTAAAAGAACCTTAGCATACAAAACTTGACCTTGTAACAAGCCATATCACTTAAAACTTAGCAAATTTCTACACAGATTTTATTTTTCCTAGGCTTTGTGGAAGAAAATTGAAATGAACAAATACCAAGTAAATAATCTTGAAATCATTGCAGTAGTTCTAATTCCCTGGCTAGTGGCAATAGAAATTTCAAGTATAAAATTCAGCTGCATAATTCTGCAACCTGATTTCTTTCTGAGGCATAACTTCTTCTCATTTTTTTTCACTTTACTTATCATTTGAACTTGTGCTATGCGGTGTTAAAGTCCCCATTTTCTTTTTTAATCTTTGCAATCCACCAAACAATTGGCTTGTGCTTTGACTGTATGGTGATGTTGTGCCCCTCACAAGGTTAATTTTTTAATATTATATTTTAATGATTTAGCCAGTTTTATAACTAGGCCCTTGGAGACTCTAATCAGAGAAGTTCTTTTATGCCAGAAGAGTAGCAAATATGTTACAGACCTGCCAACAGCACCCTTACTAGTATAAAAGTATGTGTATGCGTGCATACCTGTCGACAGGCACACGTAAATCTAAGCCATCAGCACATGTTATGGAAGAGTGATCCCTGCGTTAGCAATCATGTCTGGTCATGACATTGACAAGCAGGAAGATAAACTCAACAGAGATTCAGTTGTTGATGCTGTTGTTAAAGATCTGTTGTCAGCCTGATAGGACTGGGGTTTGTGAATGGAAAGGCTTGGGAGTCCCTGCTTTTGAGGGTAGTGTATGTTTTGAGGTACTTTCTATGGTTTAAAAAAAAAAAAGTTTGAATTGTAACAATTTTTAAATAGTGTATGTATTTCTCAAGGTCCGACAAGAATTAGTTGAAGAATATGAACAAGTGAAGAGCATTGTCAACACTTTAGAGAGTTTTAAAATGGACAGACCTGCAGATATCCCTGTATCCTGTCAAGATGAGCCTTTTAGAGATCCCGCTGTTTGGCCCCCTCCTGTTCCAGCTGAACACAGGTAATGAGAAGCTGAAGCAGAGCAGGTGGCATAAAGTTGGGTCACCATCATTTTATGTTCTTTTTTTGAATGCATTTGTAACATGAAAATCACATTTCATGTACCCTTTAGTCGTTTGTAAAAAAGAATAAATATAATTCATTGGGGGCGAAAAAGTAATTGAACTATGGTCGGATTTATTCCTGAAGTTCTAAAGAAAGTCACTCCTTTATTCTGGTAGGAGTGGCTAGCTAAGTGCTGGGAACTAGAGTCTGCTGGGAGAGGTAAGTGGGCTTTTGGTGGCAGTTGCCTTTCTCATGTGTGGGGAGGAAACTTTTCCATGTCAGTTTATTTAAGCAGCTGAATTCACTGATGGCTGAGGCATCAGTAAGGAGCTGGAACTGAAGGATCTTGAAGGACACGGTGGTTAGGAGTCACTCCCTAGCTACAGATAATATGACCTGTGTTTAATCCCTTGGTTAGTTTTGTTGCTAAACAGGTTCTGTTATCCATGGTGTTTCCCTTCTGTAACCACCTTTAATGTAACTTTAGTTAGCTAATAGTTTTCTCAAAACAGATGCTTGTGCATTTTCTGAAATCGCTATTTCCACCCTCGTAGAGCTTGACACAGGTTGTTGGAAACAACAAATCCAATTTAAAAAGAAGAATAGCATTTATCACGCCAACAGTTTTCTAACATTATAGTAGCAAAGAATTTCAATGCGTCTATACTCACATAAGCAAAGGAACAACGTAAAATGAGATATCTTGGTTAGCAGAAAGAAATGCCAAGTTTATCTGTAAATTTAAGTGCTTTATGATTATCAAACGGATCTTCACTTTTCAAAAAACCCTAGGAATGTAAGTGTAAAATAATATTAACACTGATTACTTTGGTGAGTGGTAGAAACGATTATCAGACTTTTTTGTGGTAATGTTATATGAAGTGCAAGATGTATTTATTCTTGCATCTTTCTTAGAGGTAAAGGCCCAATAGTTCATCCACTTTTCTAAGCTGAAATTTAAATCTTGTGCAAATAAGTAAGGAAAATTAGACACTCTTCTATGCTGTTACGTTTGATGAAAATGTACACAAAGCAAAATGTAGCAGTTGTATCCAGCAGTACATTTAAGTATGTACTTTTTTAAAGTGATATTCCAGGAAACTGTTTTTGGAGTTGGCAAATTTTGAGTTACTCAAAACAAGAATCAGTAGAAGATTTAATAGGGGACACTAAATAAAGTTGGGTGACATTCCTCGACGTTTATTTTAGTTCTATATTTCAAGTCCAATCCCTGGAGCAAAATTACTGTGACACCTCATCTTAAAACCAAATTCTTTCTCCTCATGCCACCGCTGAGTTCTTTTTGACTTTGTGGGTGATGCACACAAGTATAGGTGGTTGCAGTTCGGCTCTGTTTGCTTTTGCTTTCTAGGCAATTTTTATGTTTTGACATTTTCACACCGGGGAATGAAGTCAGAGCTAGGAGGATTGTTTTAAAATTCTCCCTCCTTTGTTTCGGGGCCTGTCAAAGCTATTAGCCTGCTTTTTTTTTAATTCCTTTCACCAGGAATGTCATCTGGTTGTGTCAACTTGTGCATATGAATGCGGTCTTATACAAGCTCCTGGCTTGGAGTCAGAGGAAACTACAATTTGAAGACTTTTACTAAATTGTTTGCTCTTTTGCTACATGCATGTTGGTTTGTTATAAGATTGGTTAGCTTTACTGATCTAATAGTATTGTTCATTTTCTTTTTTTCCACTTTTTTTTCCTTTTGTATTTTTTTCTTACTTTGGGTGTCAGACAGAACCAGAAATATGTTGCTGGACTTGCAGATATAGGGAGATAAGACTTAGGGGCTTGTCAGCTTTAGTAATAATGCACTGAGGGAATTAATGAAACATTAGAATTCTTCCTTCTTAATGTTGCTCTTTTTTCGCTGTTTTTAGCATGTTTTTGTTGTGATTGCTTGTTGTTAGGGCTCCACCTCAGATAAAACGTCCCAACCGAGAAGTAAAACCTTTGAGGAAGGAATCACCAGGACTGCAGCCCCGTGGGCCTGCGGGCAGAGCACACGCCGTGTCCAAGGGTGAGAAGTCTGCAGGCAGCCGCGAAAGGGAATCTAGAGCTAGAGGAAGAGACGACAAGGTAAGAAGTGGGAAAGAACATGGAGGGGGGGGAGGACTTGCGATGCAGCAGGTGGCAAAGGGAAGCATTCTTAGTTTTAGTTATTTAGTACAGATAATAATAAAAAGCCACAATAATCCTGTGCAAGAAAACTTGGTGTTTTCCTCTTGCCTCATGGCAAAGCATGTATCATGGGGATATTTAGTAATAATGACACCAAATTAAGGAAAGTTCTGTCATGTTTGCTCTGTCTTGAGTTGAGATTTTTTGATAGGGAGGAAGCACGGTGGCCTGTTGCTGGGGGTTTCTTACCGTCTCAGGTAGACCATGGCCTTGACTCGAATCTGTCAGTGCCAATCCAGGTGTAAAGTCCCTTCTCTTCCTTCTCCCCCACATCTTTTTTTTTTTTTTTTTTTTTTAAAAAAAAGGAATCCAGTTCAGGTCTTGTGTAAAGATTTCCATCTAAAAAGTGCAAAAGTGAGACCAGTGCCCTTCTCTAGACTTTAAGCATTATGAATGGAGTTCCACAGTAACATTGGCTCTACCACACTGTAGTAAAATTTAGGCGTGCCTAGAAGCCCAGGGCAGTTCTGTAAATGCATTGATGCTAGGTAAATCTGTGCCAAATGATTTGAAGTTAGATATTTGAAAATGATGCGAGGGAGATGTAGTAAAAGCAAACTTTTAACAACTTTCATTTTCTTTATTAAAAGGGGTTTGTATTTATTACAGTGTTTAGGAAGACGCTTCTTGGAAAGACTTTGTTTTAAAAATAAAAACAGTGAAATAAACTAGAATAAGTTGGAGGTTCTTTCCTTCGAAGGCCCATGAAAAAGAAGCAGCGCTGAAATGAAAGAAAAGGAGAAACAATGGTTCACTACCAAGTAGTGATGTCAAAGGCAGGACTGGTTTGTGGCTGAAAAAAATGCCTTTGTGCAAATTGCTGTTTCTGAGACACTTGCATTTTTAAATTTAACTGTGGAGTCGGTGCCAGGAACCCAATGAATCTGTGGTATAAATGATAGAAGTCAAAAGTGTACTGAAGCAGCTTTGCTTTCCTGACAGACAGAGATATGAGAAGCGCCTTCCTATGGGGGCACACAGTATTGTACAGATCTTGATAGGTGAATAAGAAAATATTTAGGCCAGTTTTCTTCCAAATGAATTTGGTTAGTCCCTTCATGGCCTTTCTATTACAGGTTGTGTCTTCGCAGCACAGAAAGAACTGTAAGATGTGCTTTTTCCATCATGAATTGCTTTTCTGATACATAGGAAAAGTATTAAGTAATCCCAGCCCTTATTACCATCAGTTAGGTAGGGCCAGGCACGTTTTTAGCAGTGCCACTGAGGGACTGCACAGATCAAGTTTAATCATTTTAGAAATCTCTCTACCCTGGATCAGTAAGATTTAAAATAACAAGTGTGCATCCTGCAAGCTATAAAAGGCTTGTGAAGATCTGTGAAATTATTTACAGTTCTGCCAGCTATACGGGGAATTGGAGTCATGGTGTGTGACAGATTCACCAGATGTGCTTGTGTAAGGCAGCCTTCAAAGTCTTAGCTCTAATGAGGGTGAACTCTGCTCTTGAAGCTTTCCGGTGATGAGCATTACAGGGCTTTACTATAAGGAGCCCACAACATGGCTTGTACAATACTTGTCTCTGGGAATAATGCGATTAGCAACACTACTGTGGTGAGGCAGAGGAAGAGTCATGAAGGTGTTCCATTTAATATGGTACATGTTAAACACTACTCTTGTCTGAATAAATTGGTCACTAGGTGGCAGAAGGAAAATATATCCACTCTTCAAAAAATACCCACAGATGCATCCTGGGAAGAGTACAGGGACGCGGTCCGGTTGTGTAGGAATGGAGTCAGGAAGGCCAAGGCGCAGCTGGAGCTAAACTTGGCTAGGGATGCAAAGAATAATAAAAAGGGATTCTACAGGTATATCAGCTGGAAAAGGATGGTTAAAGAAAGCGTACCCCCACTGATGAGCGAGACGGGCAAGCTGGTAACAGCAGATGAGGAGAAGGCTGAG